CGCACCACTGAACTCTGACGGACTCTCCCACTCCCCCCTCCCAAATACACACACACAGTCACTTTAATCAGTCTAAATAAGCTCTTTTTGCACTACAAATCATTATATCTGCACTGTTGTTTACTTCACTGGTTTGCACTCTATCTGGCGTGTGCTGCTTTATATATATATTTTTTATTTTTATTTTTTATATATTTTTTTTACATTTTACCTTATTTGTATATTTGTATAGTTGTATTTTATATTTAATCTGTATATCTGTATTTATGTTCTACTGTTAGTGTTATCTGTATGCACCAAGGGTCTGAGAGTAACGCAATTTCAATTCTCTGTGTGTATGTGCTGTACATGTGGAAGAATTGACAATAAAGCAGACTTGACTTGACTTGACTTGATGACTTGAACGCACCATTAGATTACGATCCTGAATGTGTCCGTTCATGTTGGTGTTACCATTGCTCTGATTGGCTTAGATCCTGGATCCTAGACGAACAGAAATCTGTGTTTCTCTAAAGGCGTCTCTATGTGTAAAAACTGCTCTGACAATCAAAAACCCACTGCAGGCGAATCCGTTCCTGCTCCGGTTCCACTGCACACGCATACGAACACAGTCTACTAACCGCAACTAACTAGACCTCAACTAACTGCCTAATGAGCCATACAACATTATCACGGCATTCAGACTGTGTCTTGTTTTTAACTAATTGTGACTAAAATAATAAATGCCACCTATGTGCCACAAAAGTTTTTGTAAATTCACCTTATCATGGAACATGTGCCGCTTAAATGTGGCTTCTGGGTTGACTTCACAATGGTAAGATGGCTTCACTGTCAGTGCCTTATGTTCATAAATACATTAATTTATAAGGAAATTCATTGCAGCCCATATCTTAGTGATCTGAAATGTAGAAAATTTGTACAGTGTAAAGCAATATGAGGATATGATGAAACAATATGAGGATAAGTGTTTCTATTAGTTTTGCTGTAGTTAATGCATTAATAACAGGCTGTACTGACTTCATTAGTCGATTAGTACTCAGCTACCTCATATCTGGTTTCAGTTCCTCCGCAGCCCCAGAATCCTCCGCTCTTGAATGACAGCGGCCCGCATCACCTGCTGCTGCTGCTCAATAAAGAGCCCTACGCCGGAGACGGGCCTGTCACCTCAGTCAAGCTCATCTACAAACAGAACAGCTCATCTACATGGAGAAGCATTGAGGGTAATGGCGCTTGTGTGTTTTTGTGGTGTGCTGCTGCATACGACAGCTGGAACATTTCATATCCAAGGTTACAGGTCACAGTGTTGCTCTTGGCAAACTGTCCAGTGTAATAAATATTTCGATTGTGCAACAGATTACAAAAAGGTGATGAGCTGAACATATTTCTGATCGCTGTCAAATACAGAAGATATTATTAGTCAGAAGAATGTGGGTGAAGTCATTGCTCCGGAAGGGCCTTTCATTTCACAGCGGAGGAAAAGCACATGACTGCTTCCAGATTCACTGACCTCATCTAATGCTTGTGTTGTTTTTAGGGATGTAACGGTTCAAGTCGTTTGAGATGTTAAATGAATCACAATATAACTGGGGGTAGGAGTTTATATGAATGTATCTGAGGGAAGTGACTGTCTTTAGAAAAGTTTAGATTTTCTTTCCATTTTGCCTCTGTATAATGTATTTGAGTTCATAAGCGTAGGGCTGCTTTGTTTACAGCAGTAACCAAGGAAACGCTGTATGGCTGCTGTTCCATAAGCACCACCTGCTGGCAGAGAGTGAATCAGCATCTCATTCAGCCCGTCTGCTGTTTCTGTTTCATTTAGATATGTTTTATGTAGTATAGTTTCACAACACTAAAGTCAGACCATTCTGTTGCTTCAAATTTCAGAATTATACAATCTAATTTAGATTAAAAACTGCTCATGCTGCATGTATGCAGCATCTTTGTTTGGATCATGATTAAAATACAGTGATTGACTGTAATTTTAAATGGAAAGAGCACAGGCAAAGCCTTAGTTTGTTTATATGAACAGATTTCCTTTATTTTGTTTCTTTGTTTGTTTTATTTGACAAAATTTAAAACATAGTACAAAAAAGTCCAAAAAGACTAATTCATACACATTTCAAAACTGTCGAGGATAAAATACACAAAAAAGCCTTCGGCTTATTTCCATTGTGGTCTTCGGTATTTAAAAAAATGGACGAACAAATCATAAATGGAGTGCAATCCACATCAAGTTCAGAAACTCCCACACAAACTTCAAAACATCAATGAAAAAACAACCATTTTTTAACTTACCTTCTAAAAATACTATCAATTTGTATCTCTTAAACACACCCAGGTAATTTATTCCAAGCATTTTTCTGTAATATCTTAAACACCATCACCAATTTCAAAAAAAGTTACCCTTTTTTCGACTTTTAAAAAACTAATTTTCCTATAATGTTCATCTCGCAAATGCATCAGGAATAACCCAACACAACTTATCTGCAATTTATTTTTTAATTTTTTTGAAATACCGCTATACCCAAAAACTGCAGCATAATCAAAGTGTGACTGCACTAATACACCAGCCAACATTTTTTAAGTTTGAGTATCTAAGAAAGCTACCTGTCTTGCTAAAAATTTTATTTGATTACAAATTTTTGAATGAGCTAAAGCAGCCATCTTTTCTCCTGTCAAATTACTGTCCAAAACACAACCCAAATATTTTACTTCTCGTTTAGGTGTAATATTTGATCTCCAACCTTTACCTCTAATCTAAAGCATTTTTTTTTTTTCAATTTAGCAGTCGATCCGAATAATATAACTTAAGTTTTCCCCAAATGTAAAGACAGTTTATTATGGCAAAACCATTTGGAGACCCCTTCAATCTCTCAACTTAATTCATTTTTAATATTTTCCTTCCTCTCATGAGACACAATTATTGCTGCATCATCTGCATATAATAAAAGCTTATTTGAACAGGCCATTTTTAAATCATTAATATATAATAAAAAAGTAAAGGACCTAATACACTCCCTTGCGGAACCCCATATGTTCCGCAAGGGAGCATATCTACTATTTGACACCTATTTTCAAGGTAAGACTTAATACATTTGCAGGCCATATTACCAAAACCCATTGCTTTAACTTTTAAAAGCAGAATACTGTGATCGACTGTATGAAACGCTTTTTGCAGATTTAACAGTAACATCCCACTTAACTTCCTTTTATCCATTTCTTTCCTTATATAATCCGTTAAATATAAAATTGTTGTCTCAGTGGAGTGTTTCCTCCTAAAACCAGATTGAAACTAATAAAATATATTATGTTTAAGAAGATAGTCTTCAATCTGCTCAAAAATAATATTTTCCATCACTTTTGATAATGCACTCAGAATTGACACTGGCCTATAATTATTACACTCAAACCTACTACCTTTATTAAAAAGGGGAATAACTCTTGCTTGTTTTAACTCATCAGGAACCTTACCTTGAAAAATTAAAAGATTTATAATATGGGTAACCATTGGAGTAATAAAGTTGGCTGAATCCTTAAGAAACTTCACTGGAATATTATCTAACCCTGTTGCTTTACTACTTTCAAGATTTATTAATTTCTTAAAAACGTTACTCTCCTTTACTTTAGTAAACAAAAACCCTCCCGGCATAATACCGCATTTAGCATAATACTCCTTAACTAATTTATGATTAAATATACCAATTTGTGCTGGAAACTCATTTACCAATTTTTCTGCAACCATAGTAAAAAATCTATTAAAATGATTTGTTACCTTTGTCTGATCAGATATCAATTTTCCATCTACATTAAGGCTAATTTTAGAACATTTTATCTTAGTCTTTTCCTGATACCCTAAGTCATTAAATACTCTCCATAATTTTTGAGAATCCTGCTACATTTCACTAATCTTATCCTTAAAAAAAGTTTTTTAGCCTCTATTACCTTATCTATTACCTCATTCCTTTAACGTTTAAATATCTCAAAATTATCATTATTTCTATCCCTTTTAAAAACCTATTTGTGTTATTTATTTATTTGATTTGGGGTTTGTTTTAAAATTTAAACTTAGTTTTGTTATTTGACATTTCAATTATAACAAGAAATGTTTAGCATTTTGTCCAAATAATAATAAAAGAAGACCTTTTCATTTATAATTTGTCTTAAATCTCATTTTGTTAAACAAAATCGTGAGAAAATCGTACCGTGAAATCAGTATTATGAATCGTATCGCATTGTGAGTTGAGTGAATCGTTACATCCCTAGTTGTTTCACTTAATGTAGGGGAATTTTCTTTATTAGCTAAATGTGTTTGTTGGTGCAAACAGAAGGATAGTAAAACTAATGAAGAACGCTGTTGTTTAGTTCTGGGCACATGCGTAAGAAAACAGTCTAAACTCTTGAACATGTTTGTGTGTCTTTGGCTTATTACTCTTGCTAAGTGGACTGATACTCAATATGTGGAAAATCATCACAAAACTGTGGAACTGCTTTTGTATGTTTGAGTAGATAGCAGACACATTTCTCCATGTGTTCCACAGCGAGCGGCTCTCTGGTGCGGTTGGACAACCTTTCTCCCATGACCCAATACACCGCACAGGTGCAGCTGAGTCGCCACGGACTGGGAGGAACCGGCCAGCCTGGACCCGAAGCCATTTTCTCCACACAGATGCTCGGTAAGAGCGCAAACATAGCCTCATGTTCATCACACGGCAGAATAATAAAACACCTGTGTTTGTCTCAGAGGTCCCTGTGGGTGTGAAGCTGAGCCCCATCAGTCAGACCGTGCTGCTCCTGTCATGGGACGCCGCTCCTGCTGAGGAGGACTGGAGTTACGAGGTCACGTGTCAGCAGGTCGGAGCTTCGGGAACCGAGAGGAGATTCCAGCTCGCGTCGAACTCCTCCGACCTCCATCTGAACGAGCTGAAACCCAGACACAAATACCAGTGCAACGTGATGACGAGCAGCAGTGCCGCGGGACAGGCCTGCCCCACCGTCAGCGCCTGGACACTGAGCGACCGTAAGGATGCCTTTGTGCTTCTCACTTTTTTAAGCTCGCAGCCATTTGTGACCCTGGCGCACAAATCCAGTCATAAGTAGCACAAGTATATTTGTAGCAATAGCCAACAATACATTGTATGGGCCAAAATTATCAATTTTTCTTTTATGTCAAAAATCATTAGGATATTAAGTAAAGATCATGTTCCATGAAGATATTTTGTACATTTCCAACCGTAAATATATAAAAATTTTATTTTTGATTAGTAATAGGCATTGCTAAATAATGCACTCAGAATTGACACTGGCCTATAATTATTACACTCAAACCTACTACCTTTATTAAAAAGGGGAATAACTCTTGCTTGTTTTAACTCATCAGGAACCTTACCTTGAAAAATTAAAAGATTTATAATATGGGTAACCATTGGAGTAATAAAGTTGGCTGAATCCTTAAGAAACTTCACTGGAATATTATCTAACCCTGTTGCTTTACTACTTTCAAGATTTATTAATTTCTTAAAAACGTTACTCTCCTTTACTTTAGTAAACAAAAACCCTCCCGGCATAATACCGCATTTAGCATAATACTCCTTAACTAATTTATGATTAAATATACCAATTTGTGCTGGAAACTCATTTACCAATTTTTCTGCAACCATAGTAAAAAATCTATTAAAATGATTTGTTACCTTTGTCTGATCAGATATCAATTTTCCATCTACATTAAGGCTAATTTTAGAACATTTTATCTTAGTCTTTTCCTGATACCCTAAGTCATTAAATACTCTCCATAATTTTTGAGAATCCTGCTACATTTCACTAATCTTATCCTTAAAAAAAGTTTTTTAGCCTCTATTACCTTATCTATTACCTCATTCCTTTAACGTTTAAATATCTCAAAATTATCATTATTTCTATCCCTTTTAAAAACCTATTTGTGTTATTTATTTATTTGATTTGGGGTTTGTTTTAAAATTTAAACTTAGTTTTGTTATTTGACATTTCAATTATAACAAGAAATGTTTAGCATTTTGTCCAAATAATAATAAAAGAAGACCTTTTCATTTATAATTTGTCTTAAATCTCATTTTGTTAAACAAAATCGTGAGAAAATCGTACCGTGAAATCAGTATTATGAATCGTATCGCATTGTGAGTTGAGTGAATCGTTACATCCCTAGTTGTTTCACTTAATGTAGGGGAATTTTCTTTATTAGCTAAATGTGTTTGTTGGTGTAAACAGAAGGATAGTAAAACTAATGAAGAACGCTGTTGTTTAGTTCTGGGCACATGCGTAAGAAAACAGTCTAAACTCTTGAACATGTTTGTGTGTCTTTGGCTTATTACTCTTGCTAAGTGGACTGATACTCAATATGTGGAAAATCATCACAAAACTGTGGAACTGCTTTTGTATGTTTGAGTAGATAGCAGACACATTTCTCCATGTGTTCCACAGCGAGCGGCTCTCTGGTGCGGTTGGACAACCTTTCTCCCATGACCCAATACACCGCACAGGTGCAGCTGAGTCGCCACGGACTGGGAGGAACCGGCCAGCCTGGACCCGAAGCCATTTTCTCCACACAGATGCTCGGTAAGAGCGCAAACATAGCCTCATGTTCATCACACGGCAGAATAATAAAACACCTGTGTTTGTCTCAGAGGTCCCTGTGGGTGTGAAGCTGAGCCCCATCAGTCAGACCGTGCTGCTCCTGTCATGGGACGCCGCTCCTGCTGAGGAGGACTGGAGTTACGAGGTCACGTGTCAGCAGGTCGGAGCTTCGGGAACCGAGAGGAGATTCCAGCTCGCGTCGAACTCCTCCGACCTCCATCTGAACGAGCTGAAACCCAGACACAAATACCAGTGCAACGTGATGACGAGCAGCAGTGCCGCGGGACAGGCCTGCCCCACCGTCAGCGCCTGGACACTGAGCGACCGTAAGGATGCCTTTGTGCTTCTCACTTTTTTAAGCTCGCAGCCATTTGTGACCCTGGCGCACAAATCCAGTCATAAGTAGCACAAGTATATTTGTAGCAATAGCCAACAATACATTGTATGGGCCAAAATTATCAATTTTTCTTTTATGTCAAAAATCATTAGGATATTAAGTAAAGATCATGTTCCATGAAGATATTTTGTACATTTCCAACCGTAAATATATAAAAATTTTATTTTTGATTAGTAATAGGCATTGCTAAGAACTTCATTTGGACAACTTCATGGACGATTTTCTCAATGTTTTGATTTTTTTGCACCCTCAGATTCCAGATTTTCAAATAGTTGTATCTCAGCCAAATATTGTCCTATCCTAACAAACTATATACATCAATGGAAAGCCTATTTATTCAGCTTTCAATTCATGTACAAATCTCAATTTTAAAAAAATTGACCCTTATGACTGGTTTTGTAGTGCAGTATTATATATGTATTGATTCCTGTTGTTACTGGCGTGTCATCACAGCTACACACACGCTACACATCACTGATAGAGCTGTCTCCTCTGAAAGCTCTATTAATGTCTCTCATCCACCAAAGTCACAGTGCTGTTCAAAACAGTTTCATAGCAAATTCACAGAAAATGATGATAATGCCAAAAATAATCAAGCAGTTTTGCTGCATATTATAAAGTGCTTTATGTGAGTGTACTGTATGTATGCGGATGAGCTGGATATACTAGTGGAGTTATTGACTGGTTATGCGGTGATCCATCAGAGCTTCCTCCTCCTCCTGCCAACATCTCCACCTGTAACATCAGCGACTCCTCAGCCGTCATCACCTGGTTGGTGGCCGAGGGTCACTCCATCTCCAGAGCCATGATCCGCTACCAGCAGACGGACTACAGTCAGCAGGTGGAGCTCGGCGTGCAGGACCAGACCAACATGCACTTCCAGCTCAGGGGTCTGAGGGAGGACACCACCTACCAGCTGGAGCTCTGGAGCGTCAACAACATGGGAGAGAGTGTGGAGAGACCGCAGATCACCCTCAAGACACTGATGCCACAGGAGAGCTCACGTGAGTCTCTGTGCTGTCTCTGTTCCACTGAAGAAATCAGTCAGGGAGAGTAATTAATGACAGAAGCAGCTTTTCTGCGTGAACACTAGTGCAGCTTCACAAGTGCATGCAAAGGAGCGCATGTCAGCATCTGAACCCTGTGAGACACACCGAGAGAGTAACACTGCCCTCTACAGGATCATTTACTGTTTATATATGATGGCAGTTAGCCTCAAAATTGTGGTAATTTCTCTTCTGCATTTGACAAGAACCAGTGAAACACTGCAAAAAAAGGCTTATCTTACTTAAAAAAAGAGAATTTCACTTACCCCACTGGCAGATAATTTTACTTGTTTTAAGCAAAATGCACTTAATTTAATTTTTTCCCCCTAGAAGCAAGGCTAAATATCTTATGTCATTTTGCTTATCAAGTAAATGCATCTTAATGTAAAATTTTTTAGATATTTTGACTAGAAACAAGACAAAAATACTATCGAAAATAAGCCCTTTTTTGCAGTGAATACAGTACCTGTCATAACCAGGTAAACACTTTATCATCATGTGATGCAGGCACAGGCAATAAGTTCAAACAGTTCTACAAATTGTTTACAAATCAGCATTTATAGTCATTATTTTACAAATAATGACAATAAATGCAGATATGGAAAATATGCAGAAAGTTAAGCGGATATAGCTTGATCAAAATGAGTAATAACGTGCAGGAAGAAAGACAAACCTTTATTAAATATGAACCATTATTAACATTTAACATTAACAAACATTTAATAAGTGACGTTATTTAACACTTGACAGGTAAAGTTCATTTTCATAAATATTTAAATTTGTTCAGCATTATAAAATGCTATTGATGACAGTGATTGTAAATTGTTCCTCTTTCAGAGCTGCACAGGTTCCAGGCTCACGGTAACATGCTGTTCTACGCGATCCTGGGCTCCGCCGGCATGACGTGCATCACTATCCTGCTGGCCTTCTGCATCGTCCTGCAGCTCAAGAGAGCCACTTTCCAGAGACACATGGTGCAGGCCTTCCACAACATAGTGGTGAGACGCCGACCCAAATTCAGCATTCTCACTGACCGTATGCATTAATTTACAGGTCTATCACAGTAAAAATCAGCTGAATTCAGTCACAGCTTTATCTCTATAGCAGGGTTAAGAGACCCGGTCTCACCAAGAATGATAACTATAAAGATAACTATATTAGCGTCCACACCAGTGGATGATGTCCCCTTTTTTTTCTCTAAGTGCACATTCATCTGCTGCTTTAAAATAAATAATTCTGAAAGTGATTCCAACGACATTGTTACTCTGTGCCCTTATTGTTACAGCTGTGGTGTGGATTCTGCTATTCTTTAAAGGGGTCCTATTATGGTTTTTCACATTTTCAACTTTAGTTAGTCTGTAATGTATTTCGTACTCATTTGATACAGGAACTATTCGAGCCGTTCATGCCAGACTGGAGAGAGAGGTGTTGTAATAATGTAAAATATGTGAAAAATAATGTGTTTTTTGAACAACCTAGTATGAGAGCCTGTTCTAGTACACCCCCAAAACAACTCTTTGTAAAAGAGCATAATAGGACCCCTTTAATATTGAGAATGATTTTTAGAACTGTATCTTTATCATTATCTTTATAGTTATCATCCTTGGTGTGAACAGGCCTTGAAGGTTCTCGCACTAACACTTCTCCATAGAGCAGTGTTTAGCTCCAGTTCAGAGTTTGGATCCTGAAGTCCTTCATTAGCTGCTTCAGGTGTGTTGGAGCTGAATGCTCATCTGTAAACATCGATCTCTCCTGTGCTCACAGAGAGAGGAGCCTGTGGTCCAGTTTAGCTCCATGCCGCTGAACGTGCCCAAAAAAGTTCCCAGTTCCAGCCAATCTGTGGCCTATCCCACCCTGGAGTGGAGCGACATTAAGTTCCAGGATGTGATCGGAGAGGGAAACTTTGGGCAGGTGCTGAAAGCCCGCATTAAGAAAGATGGCCTGAGGATGGACGCGGCCATCAAGAGAATGAAAGGTGAGAAGAATTCAATGAACACAGTCAGAATGTGAGTTAGCATTCGCACAATTTCTCTCACAAGGTCTCATTCTCTGTCATAACCATAGAATATGCCTCTAAGGACGACCACAGAGACTTTGCCGGGGAACTCGAGGTCTTGTGTAAACTGGGTCATCATCCGAACATCATTAACCTTCTGGGAGCGTGTGAACACAGAGGTGTGCACCTCAAATCCCACAGACGTTTGCTGATCTTCTCCGATGCGACATGACTGTTTGAGTGTTTGTGTGCTCAATCACACTGTCTGCTTTTACTGCAGGATACCTGTATTTGGCCATTGAATATGCTCCTCACGGAAACCTGCTGGACTTTCTGCGTAAGAGCCGCGTTTTAGAGACGGACCCTGCCTTTGCCATCGCTAACAGCACCGCATCCACGCTCTCCTCGCAGCAGTTACTGCACTTTGCTGCAGATGTGGCGCATGGCATGGACTACCTGAGCCAGAAACAGGTGAGCGTGGAAAACACTGACCACCAGCATAATAATTCTGCTCCAATTCATTTATAAAAAATATTTATTGGATTCAGTAATGAAAACATATAATATATAAATAATATCTATACACCTGTCGCGGGTTGCTATGATGAATTAAGTGCACGACAAAGGGGAATCCAATAAACAGTCTATAATCATAAATCCACAGGGACCAGAGGAAACACAGCAAAGCATATCCAACGTTACATAAATAATAACCAACGAAGGACCGAACAGAAATGGGGAGAACTTATACAAAAGCAAGAGAGGGACTAATGACTTAATTAACAGGACACAGGTGAACAGAATGAACTAATCAGGGCAACTCAGGAAAACTAGGTCACTAGGTACTAGGTAGGCATGTTACAACACCAATGAGCTATTACATTGTGACTGCCCCAGTCTAGAGCGATGAGTGCACCTGGCAGCTGAATGTTGCATTTCAGAGCAGTATATACAGTGCCTTGCATTTCATTTTTTTTTCATGTTTTATGTTGCAGCCTTATACTGCTTTAAATTACTTTTTTCCCCCACATAAATCTACACTTCATACACCATAATGACAAAGCACAAAGCAGGCTTGTAACAACTTTGCAAATTTATCAGAAATAAAAAACTGAAATTATTCCATTGCATAAGTATTCATACCTATGAAACATCCCTGCCTTTTTGGGGGGCCCCATCGCAGGACATTCTAAAAGGCATTCACAAACCACATAGAACGTGTTTTTGCTTTGAGAATTTGGGGGAAAAAACCCTCTTTTGACGCATTTTTAGAATGCCGTGTCATGCTCGAGAAACTGTGAATGACGCGAGACGTGAGCGCAAAGTTAGTGCAATGGAGTGGAAAAGCGTAAACTCTTAATGTGGCTTAATAATATTCTAAAACAGCAACCAGGGAAAATCAATTTTCTCTCACTTTCACTTGTCATAAACACTATACCTCTAAGACAACCACACTGTGATCAAAGTGCATATTTTTACGCTTAAAGGGATAGTTCACCCAAAAATGAAAATGTGATGTTTATCTGCTTACCCCCAGGGCATCCAAGATGTAGGTGACTTTGTTTCTTTAGTAGAACACAAATGATGATTTTTAACTCCAACCGTTGCAGTCTATCAGTCGTATAATGCATGGCAATGGTAACAAAATCTATGAGAGTAAAAAAAACATGCACAGACAAATCCAAATTAAACCCTGCAGCTCGTGACGACACACTGATGTCCTAAGACACGAAACGATCGGTTTGTGCGAGAAACCGATCAGTATTTATATAATTTTTTACCTCTAATACACCACTATGTCCAACTGCTTTGAGCGCGCGCACGGCATCCGGTGAGTGAGGTGTGTACACGCTCTGGCGTAGTTTACGCAAGCGCCGGAAGTTATCTCTCGCGCGTATACGCGATAAACATCACATTTTCATTTTTGGGTGAACTATCCCTTTAACTGGCTTAGCTATGCATTAAGACAGTGATATTAAAAGATCAAACTACTGAAGAGCCCAGAATATGAATGCAGCACGCAAAGTTTTACGTTAAGCATTTATCTCCCACTGGAAAAAAAAAATAGTAACAATTGTATAGGCTATATGTTAAAGAGCTATTTATCTGTTCTTAGCCTTAAATTTAGTTTTAATGGTGTAACGTAATATATTTATAATGTTAAATACAATTTTTTTACATTTTTTAAAATAAGATTAATTAGTAGATTAATAATTTAGATGTTACCACATAAAGCACATTTTTAGATTATCATTACGCTTAACGTGACTTCTGCATTTAAAAGACCAAATTCAGTTACCTTGATGATGCAAACTATGCAGGCAAGCAGAAATGCGCTAAATTGCACATTAAGTGCTTTGCGTTCATATTCTGTGCTTATCTTCTTATTTTCCTTGCCTATTATTATCTGTATTAACAAACTGTAGCCTATATTGAATTAGGTCCTTAGCGCCGTATAGACCATTAAGCTACGTTAAGTGTTTTTATTTATTAAAGGGGTCATATGATGCCCATTTTCCACAAGTTGATATGATTCTGTAGGGTCTTAATGAAAAGTCTGTAACATAGTTTGGTTAAAATGTCTCAATAGTAGTGTAAAAAACACCTTTTTTTACCCTGTCAAAAACAGCTCTTTTCAGATCAAGCCGTTTTTGTAGCATTTCCCTTTAAATGTTAATGAGCTCAAAACGCCAGTGTCAATCATCAATCTTGGGAGGAGCCTGGGTCTGTGTGACATCACTCAGCCAAGAATCTGAGAACGGCTTGATTTGAGTAAGGGGTTATTATTTTGGGGGATTTAAATAAAAACACTAGGTGGATTTTTATCATTATAGGGTGGTTGTGTACACACACTGCCAACACACATTTCAGTTCAAACAACTTGTAAAAGTGCATGTAGCCTCCTATGACCCCTTTAAATAGCATAACAGTAGTAGTCTAAATGTATGTTTCGCACGTGTCAACAATACATTATGAAAATACAAAGAAGCAGGTTTTTTTGCGATCAGATCAACCGGCAAACTCCTGGAAAGTCTAGGGATCCAGTAAGCAAATACATTCAAACAGTAAGTTCAAAACAGCGCTAACGCAGAGAAAACATGGCCGATTTCATCAGAGATGGCAGAGATAATAGTACTCGCGTACAGATGTCAGTAAAAAAATTAAAAATCAGCAAGCTATTTAGCTTAAAAGCACGAGTGTTTTATACTGGATGCTGGCTGAAGGTGTTTTAGATTACGCAGTAGTCAGTGGTTTAGTAAATCTGGAACAGTCAGGTCAAGTTAGATCATTTAGTGGTCTTTTGGCATCCCCCTGTGTTCCTGTTTGTTATCGCAGATTGACTTGTTCAATTTTTTTTATTAAAAGTGCTGTAAACTACTAAAAAACCGTGGTTTACTGGGAAACTCAAACAGCTTCGTCACGCCAAAGAGGATGCTTACAGAAGTGGGGATAAAATATTGTATAACCAGGCCAGGAACAGACTAACAAAGGAGATCAGAGTGGCTAAAAATAACTACTCTGAAAAGCTGAGAAAACAGTTTTCAGCCAACGATCCGGCGTCATTATGGACTGGTCTGAAGAACATCACCTTGTACAAGACACCACCCCCACAGTCTGTGGAGAATCAACAACTGGCTGACGATCTGAATGTTTTACTGTCGAAAAAGGCCAGACTGACACCCAGCACCTGCTCTAATCTGCACTTCACACATTCACCTACCCCCCTGACAATTATTTGTTGTACCATAAATGTAACAAAAATGTTTTTAAACAAAGTTAATGTAATGACCTGTGTTTGATGATACTTGTCTTTATTTACTTTGATTTATGGAGTAATTTGTATTTCTTGACCTGATAAATTAAAAGGATTTATGTTAAAATAACAAAATAACATATATTTTTACATCTATGCAAATGCATATGATTTATTTTGGCACTACATACATTCATTGCAAATTATGAAAATTAAAAAGTACTTTTTTTAGTACTTTAGTTTGTATTTATTTATTTTTGGGTGGGGGAGTGGGGTTGAGTACCATCACTTCTCTATTTCTACTACAAGCATTGATTGTGTATCATATGTACGCCAAACACGTGCGTATCATATGCACGCCAAAGTCAATTTCTGTGCATAAATCGCATGCCAAATAGAAACAGAAAATTGTGCTATACGCACTTTCATGAGTCCGGACTTATTTGTTTTTTTAAATGCCATATCTGTCACACGTTCTTCATGCCAAAGAGGATGCTTACTGAAGTGGGGATCATATCTTGTACAACCAGGCCAGAAACAGACTGACGAAGGAGATCAGAGTGGCTAAAAAAAACTACTCTGAAAAGTTGAAAAAACAGTTTTCAGCCAACGACCCAGCATCAGTGTGGACTGGTCTGAGGAACATCACTAAGTACGAGACACCACCCCCACAGTCTGTGGAGAATCAACAACTGGCTGACGATCTGAATGTGTTTTACTGTCGATTTGAAAAGGCTAGACTGACACCCAGCACCCGCTCTGATCTGCACTTCACACATTCACCTACCCTCCCTGCAACCCCCCTCCCTCCCTCCCCCACCATTCAACCTGCGCCTAAGGTCTGTGTAGAGGATGTGAACCGGGTCTTCAGGAAGCAGAAATCTAAGAAAACTTCAGGCCCAGACAGTGTTTCACCTGCCTGTCTTAAAGTCTGTGCTGACCAACTGGCCCCCGTATTCACACAGATCTTCAACCAATCACTGGCACTGAGTGAAGTTCCCTGCTGCTTCAAACGCTCCATCATTCCGGTCCCCAAAAAAAACAAAATCACTGGATCTAATGACTACAGACCTGTCACTCTCACGTCTGTGGTCATGAAGTCATTTGAGCGACTGGTACTGGCCTACCTGAAGGACATCACTGGACCCTTGCTGGATCCTCTCCAGTTTGCCTACAGAGCAAACAGGTCTGTGGATGATGCAGTCAACATGGGACTGCATTACATCCTGCAACACCTCGA